GATATTGTATATTTCCTAAAACCAAAAATAAAACCACACGATTTAGTCTAATTGCTGGACTTACGACAAGACAGGTATGAGGCAATAGGGTTGAATTGAAAAGCCAACTTCTTAAATTCTAACGAACATATAAATAAAATTAAGTACACGACAATTAATTAAAAAAATCCAATCAAATAATTCATTGTATTAGATTTCTTGTATACAAGAATTAATTAGACACATTCATCTCTTTCGACACTTACCCTTTATTATACTGAACACGCTAACTCCGGCTTGAACCAACACGATCCTGTTTCTATGATATGTTTTTCAAAGGTTCTTGCGTAAATTCGTAATTTGCAAAGTGCCCATAGTCACCGGCTATATATATATATATATGAACAAAGTTAAATATATAGAATTACTTGTATGACTAACATGCAATTGTTGTTATTATTATTTTATAAAAAATGATCTAGTATAAGTAGTTGAGCATCAATGAAGGAAAAAACCCAACCCACAAGCTATTGATTAACCTAGCTTTTCATCAGTTTCTTCTGATTCCAAATTGATCAGAACTTCTTAAGATTTTCCTTTTCAATCTTTCTGTTCGGGGAAAAGACATGGGCTCCTTGGAAATGTCTCCAACAAGGTAACAACGCCTTAAACTTTCTCCAGAAAATCACACAATTCCATTCATGCACGAAATATGTATACAAGTATAGTAAAATACATTTGAAGCACTACAAAAAACGAAAATCATCCATTATTAATGAAGATTTCAGTTGGTACCTAATTCTTCTTGCAGTTTTACTGTTATCTTGAGATGACTATGTATGCAAAACTTTACTATGCATGGTGTTCGTTTGCAAGATTTGTATACGTATATATAGCTTGCAAAGTGCTTTGTGGCTTAATTCTGAAAATATTTTTTATACAAGTTGAAAAATAATTTACTATTTTATTTCTATAAGTGTTTATAATTATATTAGTGATGTAATTTTAATTTTCATCATAATAAAAAAAAAAAATTTTCAGCCTTACCGTAGAGTAGACATTTTTGCCGATTTACGATGAATCTTCTGTTTTTTTTTTCTTATTTTACTTTTTATTTTGCATAATTGTGTGCATTTTGAGAATTTATTTTCTCAAT